TCTTAATCACAGAATAACCTAATGCTACGCATTTGTCCGCAAGCGGACGGCCATTATTGAGAGCGCAAATGATTTAGTATATATATATAATACATATAAGAATAACATTATATATATGTATATAACATATAACATGATATAACATAATCTGTAGCGAATGGTATGGCATTGTCGCCTCAGTTTGCTGAAAAGGATAAGTATTTTGCCAACAAATCAGTCTTTCAAGCCTCACGGTTCCAAATAGGCCAATAATCAGACGGCTAGAAGAAGTTTACACAAAGCATAATCAATATCCGTATTGTCTGGGATGGAGTCATAATGGTTTAGGCGAATATGTATTGCTGATGACCGGTGAGTGATAAGGACAACGCGGCCATAGAGTGCATCCTTGGGTTTAGGGTCGCGAGTTCCACGCCGTACTGGTTTGACGAATACGCTTTTGACAGATAATCTTTCCCCAACACGTGTAGCGTACAGTTTAGTTGGATGGTGATTTAAGACGGTAAAAAGCACCCGTCTGGTAATCTACCTAGGGCGTCATCCTTTATTGGTTGCGTGTGTCAGTTACAACACAATAGATAGCTAAGACTACTGGTAAACAGAGAAGAAAAGTAAATCATGAAGCTTAAGTAAACTGTGACATGCATCAAAATGTTACCTCCGTCAAACTTGCAAAACCTGATTCCTGGTTACTAACTGCATGATGATCATAATGGATGGTTAATCCCCATTCGTTAAGTGTGGTCCCTCTATGTGTATATTCTATCAATAACACATCTGGAATACGAAATGTTTGGATCAGGCCCCAGGCACTGTTGAATCATGCGCACAAGGTGATAACCGTCGACCATGTATCCAGAGGCGTAAGGGTTTGAAGTCCCAACCTGAAGTTTCGCGGTTCGCGTCCTGACACGGGGACACAACAAGCAGAACACACTATTACAAGAAGTCCGAAACAGGACGAAACAGCTGTCCAGCGCTCTTTGTATCGGTTGTCACAAACATTTCTATCGCATTTGAATATCACCAACATATTTTAAATGGAAATGATTAATATCGGTTTCACACACGTATAACAATGCAATGCGCTCGTCACGTGATATCACGCTCTTAACACCGTTTTGATCTGGTGAATTGCATTTTGGTACCATCACAAGTCACACACGCAACTAACAGTTACGGACGGGTTGGAAGAAAAACCTGATTTAATTTGGTGGTCTGCTATTCATATACCTCCAGAAAACCGTCCCTACACGAGCCATTGAACGAGTCCATGCCAGATGAAACTGATCGATGTGTTCCGCATTCGCCACTCTCTCTTTCTCACGAACAAAGTGACGCATCCTTTTGTGCCCACATGAATTGTTTACCTTTCTCTATATTGAAACTGATTGCTGTTAACGCAACGGGGTAACAATGACACAATTACACCACAAAACACGTGACTATGAGTTCGGTCCGTTGCATTCTATCACGGATTTAGAGTATTTTATTAACCACTTATTTCAGTTTATTGGATTTGATTCACTGTTTTCCCTGGATGGAAAGTACGGGACACAGACCCCGTTTTACAAGAGTGCTCACAACACAGTTCTCTGTCCAACTCTTTTGAATAAAAAAAACAACATTACAAAATACTGATGCATTTCACGATCCATAAGCTAAAATAAGGCAATTGAACTAAACATCTGGAGCAAAAGCTCTTCAAATTGGACAAGGACATCTCTACGCTTCCTAGGCAATGCCTAACAGGGTAGGGAAAAGTGTAACGGAACAATTTTTCTAACGAAAATCTATTAATTACATGAATCCGTGTCTCTGGTAACAGTCGATTATGTTTTTAGTGCTGAAATTTCGTCAAACACTGAAAACCTCGTTGATTTTACGTAATAGCTTTATTTTTGGGTAACTGGTACATCGTTAACAGATTGTAATGACTTAGGCATCTACGGGATCGACCTAAATATTTGCTTTGATAAGTGCGTTTTGAGAAACCAAAAATCTTGTAAAATCCGAAAGGTAACAATCTAGGTATCAGACTATGAGTGTGTTTGATATTGAAAGTCTAACTAAAGTCACCGTGTTTATCGTTTAGAATATTGGANCTTTCAGTTTTGTTCTGACAGAAAATACGAGAACTGATTAAGAACTTTAATCTTTTCATCTTCGTGCTGACTGAATGTCTCTTCTACCAGCAACCTTCTAATAAGCACCTGCATTTTTGAAATTATCGATGAAGTCCGCTTCCCTGCATCTTGTTACACCCGATGATAATGAAGACTACCGGTAATGCATCCAGTTGAAAAAATACAGTCAGAAGGATAAAGTGTTCAACCGTGTATCTAATTTGTTATTTTCGTGAAAGAGTATTTATCGGTATGAGAACAGAAAAGACCAATGTTTTTAAAGGGATACAAGTTCCTCGTAGAGAGCACGCAACGTTTGATGTCGAAATTGCTTATCTGATTGCGAACGGTGAGGCATATTTGAAAGTCGCGGACAGACGCATTGTTACACCAACTGGTCCCGTTGTGTTCTATCCCTGTAGCAGTCGTATGTTTTCATTTCACGGTACATTTTAAAGTGTCTCTTTGAACTTGAAACAATTAAGGGCTGTTCCTTTTCTCCCGTTATGTGTATCTTCGTTTGCAAACAAATGTTGCCCTTATTGTCAACTATGGCAACAAACCGATACACAAGACTTCCAAAAACGTTTGCGTCGAAATTGAATCGAAGGGGTTTACGCTGGTCAACATCCATCTCATATACCACTAGCAACAAGTATCGCTGACTGGTCCCCGGGCTAGCTAAATGCATGTTTGCCGATTATAATCAAGAGGCAAGCTTTATTCCAATTGAATAGTGAACCTTTCTATTTTTTTCAACTTTATTTCACTATTTTTAATTAGAAAACAGTTGTATACGCATTGTTTTGGTGGGAGTGCTAAGCGAGCGCATTCAAACGGTTGTTTGGCGATAACAAATCGTGCGAAGCGGTACACGAAGGTGTGGAGACTGAGGAACAACGTGTGAAGTGAAATGGCTGTGACCTAGAAGGTCGAACGACGGTTAAATCACATGGAATATCATCACTGAGCTATCAGCCTTCACCAGTGTTCTCTCTCACTGTGGTTGTTCGACAGCAATTACATGCAGGATTGTGCTCCTGTGCAAGTGCATCCAAAGACGGGAAAATCAAATAAGAGAACCAGTGAAATGATTTTTCAAATGGCTATTCATTTGTTGTTTAAGTAAACTTTATTTCATTAGATTAATGGTCACCTGGTCACCGGAATTCGTGAAGTCCCAATCTAATCATGTCATTACGATTCACAGGGGAGGACAGGAAAATCTTCTATATACAGTGTAGTACTTTATGGCACCATTTGGTGGTAGGCACCTTTGCTGTCGCCCGATCCAATACTTCACACCTAACCTATCAAGGCCTTATGTGATTTGCCACACCAAGTCCCAGGGGTTAGATTACCGATTTCTATCACTGAACAGAGCAGGTCATAGTGACTATGGGGTTATCCCCTTCTGGTGTGCATCACACGAAAGTTTATAATAAATAAAACATGCTTTGGTTATTTGTTTCGTGACTCAGGTGTAGCCATGCAGTGCAAGCAATCATAAAACCAGTTATCTGAAATAAAGCCTATGTCTAGTCAAAGTTTGCTCACCCTG